TTCGCGTTTTGCCAGGATCATAAGGTGGGGAGGGGGAAGAGCCAAGATCAAAATGGGAAAGCCATAGGAATGAGAAGAGCCCGCGTAAAAGGGTCTGGAGGGATAAGATTTCTGTGGGTCAGGCATTGACTGGACGGACAACAACCAAGAATAAGGACAGAGAAGTGGGAACAGGACACGGCATTAAAATATTAGAGGCAACGCTAACGACGTAGTCCCATAACTCGTCGGCCCATGTGGCCGTGGGTCCCACAAATAATGCCTCTCTTGCTCTCCACGCACATCTCGCCCGCGTCACCCCTTCCCGTCTTATCCTTCCTTGATCCCCTTCACCTTCTAGATTCCTTCTCTTTCACTCCCCCAATCTCCGTGCGGATGTGGAGAAAAATTAATATATATATATATATATTGAGAGGGATAAATGAGAAATTAGTGTTTGTTTTGTTATATTCTGATTTTTTTAATCTCTCGCAACGACTTTTAACCTTTTTATTTTTGAGAACATATAATCAAAAATACATTTTTGAATTAAAAAAAACGGGTGTTCGTTCGTTTGTTGAAATCAATACCTTCACTTGTTCAATTTGTCTCCTTAATTAGGCATTTTAATCCTTAGTTCATCAATCATTTAATTTTTTTGCAGGAGCTCGTGTTTTAACAATTTTCCCTTAACAGAGGTCAAAACACCGAGAGGAACCACAAATGAAGCTGGTTCCGAATGATTCAGAAATGCTAAAAAGACCAGATTTTTTTTTTTTGCCCTCGATTAAGGGGTGTTTGGGAAACCCAAAACCATGGTTTTAGAAACACTTTTCCGCAAAACGAGGTAATCTCCTCCATATATTTACTTTGTAATCCGTAAAAGCATTTCTGAAACCATGGTTTGGTCTCTATCCAAACACCCCCTAAATTAGATTGCTGCTCACGGCTTCTTACCTGCATCCATGCTTCTTCAACCACATTCTTATTTTATAAAACTAATTGAGACCACATCTTGATTCATTCCAAACAGGATGCCATTGACTCCCGCAGCACAGTGCTGACCTTCAAAGATCTCAGACGCTCATCCATTAATTCCAATTTCTGGTCAGGCTTCAACCACCCAATTATCAAATCCTGATAACCACTGTCTATCCTCTTGGTCAATTTATATTATCTTCCATTCTTAATATTACATCTCCAATCTTTAATACTACCTCCGGTCTTTAGTATAAAAGTTAGTTAACTAATTTGAGTAGGTTAAAAAAACTAGTTAAGTTAATTAATTTAAGGACCGTTTATTTGACTTTTATTTTGGTCCTAAATATAAGACCCGAATCTACTTTCTATCTCATATTATCCTTTTTTTAGGGTAGTTCTAACCAGTATACTTGATAAGCAAATATATTTTGGGAAAGATAATACCTATTTATTACAAGTAATTAATCTAACTAATTTTTTTAATATACTCAAATTAGTCAACTAGCTTTTATATTAAGAACTAGAGGTAATAAGAGTTAGATAACAAATAAATATATGTTGTATTTTCTAAAATACCTTTTATTGTTCATCGTGTGTGCTGTAATTATTTCTTGATAAAAACTCCTTAACATACGTCGTTATCATAATAATTATTTGGGGCATAATAGATAAATGTAAAAAATAAAGTTAATTAAAATTTTATATTTAAAATTAAATATCGAGAGTTAGAGATAGTATCACTTTATTATTTTTAAATTATTATTACTACAAGGACATCATTTAGTCTTGTTGCGGACATAAGATACTACCTCCGGTTCTTAATATAAGAATTTGTTTAACCTTTATCTTGATCCTAAATACAAGACTTTAATCTACTTTGTCTATTATATTTATCTATTTTTTTTCAAAATAGTCTTTATAACATTAGTAGTTATACTTAACACACCTGATTAGTAAGGATATTTCAAACAAACAGTATCGGTTTATTATAAATAGTTAATTTAAATAATTTTTTAATCTACCTAGACTGGTTAATTATACTACTTACTGCATTACTGAGACATAAGCGATAAAGTTTCTTGGCTCATTGCTTTCATGCAAGCCTTCGGCTCTACGGACGCTGCGGCTGTGAGCACGAGCCTGATAATTAGTTATATGAGGACTTTTATGAGCGTTGGCCTCTAAGCTTTAAATTATTCATCACAATGATATTTCTTCATGCTTATCCCAAAAAAAAAAAAAAAAAAAAACTTAAGCCGTCATCTGCGCACCTCAAATGATTTGGATCTTGAAATGTAAAATTTTGTGGGATCATAGAGTCTTTGAATCCCCTAGTTAGGCTGCCTAAGTAGATGAAATAGAGTTACCCAGTCCTTAATATAAAAATAATTTTGCTCTTTTAATCTGAACTAAAATATATGGTCTTAATCTATTTTATTTCTTATAGTTTAAAAGTAGTTGTACATGTTAAATGTTTCATCAAATGATAATTTTAAGTAATATACTTGATTAGTAAGTGTATTTTAAGAAATATAATACTTATTTATTACAAATAATTGATTTAATAAATTTTGTTGATATATTTAAATTAATTAATTAAGATCAGAATTAATAAATTATTTTTTATGCTTATAGACGTGTCGGGATGTAAAAGATTTAAAGAAAAGATTAAAGCGTTTCTTTATTTGCATATCTGCTCATTAAACTATGACAGTTGAATCATCGAGCTTCAAAATATGACACTGCCCCTGGAAAGAAACAAAAGTTCTTAGGGATCTGAACTATTTCATCAGATCCGATAAATGAAAAAGAGCAGAAAAGCATTTACACTGAGTGGTGCATACGCGGGAGAAGAGATGAAATTAGGAAGAAAGCGGGGAGGCGGGGGGGGGAGGAAAAGGAAAAAGGAGTACGATTGGGAATATTAAAAGGGCTGTTTGTGGATAAAAAGCCAATACGGTGCCATGATGTGCCTGTGATGGGGAAGTATGCGTTCTGGCGAAGGAAAGCATACGAATTATTTATTTGGTAATTGATGATAAAAGGAGCCCAAAAATAAAAGTGATCGCAAAATGATTCCCCTGTAACTTTCACCCCCCTCCAAAATCCAATCGTGGATTTTCATTTTCTTTCCTTTTAAGATTTTTTCGGGAGATGGAATCTTCTTGTCTTCTCTTTTTGGGTACAGGGATTAGATTCACTTATGGAGCTCAAGAGGATTGATTGCAGGGGGCAGCGGCCAAATAACCGAAAAAGTTTCGATCCCTGTGACAGTAACGAGCACTAATAGTTGTTAAAATCTAAATCATATAAAATTAGTTTTAATAATTCACATTTAAAATTTTTAATTAGTAATTTTTAAATAAAAAATTTATGTTTAAAAGATTACATTTATTTTGAATTATATACTTATTAATTTTTTTAGAAACAAAAATATTAAATATTAAATCTTAATTATCCACCTTAAATTTAAACGACTAAGATTTGATGAGGATTATGATGCTGATTACTGTGATGAGTACTGAAACTAATTCCAAATAACTTTGTTTATGATAATCACTTTTCTGATTTCTCTCTCTATTTCTTTTTCCTGATTCTAGGACGATGCCCTTTTTTTTTTAAAAAAAAAAAGCCAATCACTGACCAAAGAGTAACTGTTCATTGGCAAACACGATTTAATTAGGAAGAAAATCATTGTAGGGTTAAACAATATAATAGCCAAAAAAGTTACGCGACAAATGATCACTATGTAATCATGAGTTTTGAATTCTCATGTAAAAAAATGACAATATGTTTATATTATTATTTATTGTATGTGTGCTTGATAGTTGCATTTTTTTCAAATTAGAATTTGATTTGTCACTCAATTATGCGCCAAAAATAATCATGCGAACCACCCAAAATAATCTGCCTTGTTAGTACTTATTTTCACCCCTTTTCTTGGTTTTAATTGATAAATGGGTTAAAAATTCACCGCATATCCGCTAGGTCAAGGATTTTTGGCCAAAAAAGTCAATGATTCATTCCATCAGACCCATTTGAGATGTCTCTACCTAGTAAATATTTTTTATTTATGGAGTGAACTTGTGTGTGTATACTTTTCTTACTTCGCTGTCATAGTTTTTTTAATTGGATCAGATTAGATGTGGGTCAAGTATTGCATAAAGTTTAAAAAACATGTCAAATTGTTCCTGCCTCACCACTTTTAAGTTTTAAGTACTACCTCCGATTCTAATTATAAAAGTTAGTTGACTAATTTCAAGAGATTAAGAAAAGAAGCTAAGTTAGTTATTTATCATAAATAGGTATCGTCTTTCCTAAAATATTCTTGCTAATCAAAGGTGTTGGCTAGAAGTACTATTGTTAGAAGGACTATTTTGAAAAAAAAATACATAAATATTAGAGACAAAATGGATTGAAGTCTTATATTTAAAATTAAAATAAAAGTCAAACGAGTTCCTATATAAAAACCGGAGGTAGTATTATATATCATATGTTAACAAGTACATATTTTATGTTCACTTGCTATGATAAATATGCTTTTTTTTTTCTAATAATATAACGTACACAATTCAATTAAAAACTAAGCGTAGTTTCCTTTTTTTGGTATTTGCATGGTTTGATACACGAATTGTACTATTAGCGAATTATATATATATATTTATATGGACGATTCCTGTAATTATTATCTGAATATAAATAAGACAAAGCCCAAAGAAAAAGAAAAAGCCCAAAAGACTTGCAGATCCGTCGGGTAAAAATAAAAGGCTTTGCGGAGCATTTTCGAAGAAACCAGAACTGTCGAAGGGTTTTCATTTTTGGACCATGAGAACCGTGGAAGGGTTTGCTTTAAAGAAAAACATCGTGGAATTATTTGTGTTCCAAAAATTTTTGGAAGGGAGGAAATAGAAGCCCAAATTATGTTCCTTCACAGTTCACCAGATGAACGGAAGGGCCCAATGTATAAAGCCCATTCTACATGATGCCAACTGAGAATAGATTGTGCCCGGCTCCGTTCGCCGACCTCCGCCCTCGACGGAATGATCCGCTTCATCCCAAGTAAGGCCCTCTATGTCTCCACGTCTCTGAATTTTTCCAGTTTTTTAAGTTTCATATGCAATCTCAGAGACATAGTTGAAGGACTTGAAGCTGCGGAGAATTCCGGTCCCCGTGGATGAGTGAGCAGCTGTGATTTTAATTTCTTCCATGGTTAGTCACTCAGAGGCTGTGTTCCTTTTGTAATTTTTTTTTCATTGAGTTTATGGGGAACGATTCTAATGGTTTCCATTCCCTCCCTCCGGTTTCTTTCTTACACTCGTAAATTCAAGTTACGTAATGGTGGGCAATTGTGTAGGGACTGCGAGATTGTGGTGCAAAAAGACAGACATAGATAGTGCCCAGGAAGGCTGCTGGTGTTCATTGATTTTAGTTGAGCTGATTATTAAGTAGCAAACTTCTAAGAAGATTATAAATGAAAAAATCGCATCTTTAGCCCCTAAGAATGTGTTTAGACAATGAGCAATGCGTCTCTGCATGAGCGATAGCTTAACGTGCTGTTCGTTTAACTATCCACTGCCAATAACCCTAGGTTAAGAACGACATGATATTTAGAGCAGAGAGTCAGAGACCAGCATTTAAATTTCCATCCGGAAATAATGGTATCAAGAATTCTACAAACTCCGATATCTCTTTTTTAAATAAAATTTGAATGCTCCCTCGCAATTTTCTTATCATCTGACTGCATCTTCTTTTACTAATCCCGTTTTAGTTTTGAACTATCTGATATTACTTATAGATATAATTTCTTTGTTCAGGTGGAGCATCAACTTATTTTTTGAGCAGGATGTAAAATATTTACAGCTATTGATACGTTACAACATTCACTTGTCACTACATTGTCAAGATATGGAGAATTTCCAAGATCAGCCACCCCCTCCGGGTGTTCACTCATGGCCTAACTATTCATCAAACCCTGCTCCTTTGCCACAATCATTACCAGGCCATGTACAGCCTAGCGAGACTGCAACTCAGTATCCTTCAAATTATTCTGGAAGCTCTCAGTATTTCCCTCCCCCTTCTAATTTTACCTTCCCACCTATCTCTCAGAGTGTCTATACTCATGCTGCGCCTCAACTTCAATCTTCCCACGGTGCTCCTCATTTATTGGATAAGAATGCCCGCTGTAACTTCCAACAAGAAAGCTTTTCTCAGTCTGGCGTTAATAGTCCCCAAAGGTTACCTCTAGGCTCAAATAACACGGATGGAGAATATCAAAACATTGAGAATGCTACCGCATCAGCGACCCAAGAGTCTGATGTCAGTCCTCCACTGAAAGTAGATGAGGCTGCAGCAAATGTTTCTGATGCATCCTGCAAAGGCTCCGGAGTACAATTAAACAATGCTTATGCCATTGATATTGCCGCTCAGGATGCTGTCTTACGTGAGCAAGTCCGTATCTCTTGCATGAAAATTTTTATTCATCTTTCCCTTTAACCAATCTGATCGGTCTTGGATTTGTTTGCATTGATAGGAAATTGCCACCCAAAATATCATAAGAAGTCAAAGGTATATACTCACTTGCTATTCGGCAGAATGCTACCCTATTTTGAGTAGTCACTTGACAAATCAAAGATTAAAGATTCCATACTTGTGTTGTGCCATTCCAGAGACACGAGAAGCAGTGGCTCACCTCCCAAGGATAAGTTAGACATATTCTCAGAACGTCGTGATCCCAATGCTTTGAAGGTGCAGATTTAACATTTCTGTTAACCGACTAATTGGCTTTAGTCTTCATTTCTATGAGGAACTGAGTATCTTGTCCTCCTTTTTTTTTTTAAATCCTATTTTTAATGGAAAACCAGGAACATCTGTTGAAGATGGCCACAGACCATAGGGCTGAAATGGCTGTCAAACGGGGGAAACCTACCCGTGCAGAAGGTCAGTAATATTCGTGGCTTGAAGTTATGTTCCTCTTTTCATAGTTTTTCTGACTTTGACATTTGTGGTTTGGTTGGTGGCAAACAAGCAGGGTTGAATTCTGGATAACTGTGCTTTCCATAGTTGTGTATATCAGGATAGTGACGATTAGGATTTCAGGGCCTTCTTTTAAGGGGATGTCATTATGCACAAGGCGTTCCTTTGATTTATGTCTACTGGCCTTCTGGGAGATGTTTCTAAATTCTAATACTAACACTAGAAAGACCTGGGAACAACACTATATTGCATTCTTGTTTTGCTTTCCCTCAAATTGGCCAACAAAATGATGCTTAGTGCACAAAAATCAGAGAAGCATGATCAGTTTTTAAAGAATCAGAGATGCTAATAGATCATAAATATTTAGTTGGATATAAGAAAGAAAATGTTTCTGTGGTTGCTAGTTGACAGTTGCCTGGTTGCTGCTAAGATGGCCCTGAGTTTAATTAGATATCTCTCAGGAATAAGATTAACCCTTATATGCGGTGGATTTGCTTACTTTCTTTGGGAATACTTCTCTATATTTTTGTTCTTTTGGTACGATTATGGATTGACTGATTATATGCCTGGATTTCTATGCCAGATAACACAGAAATAGGAAATGGGTATGGTGTACCTGGTGGTGGTGCTTATTATGATGCTCCTAGGCTTGGTGCTGCTGCAGGTAAACATTGTTTCAATTTCCAGATATATTTGCCTTAAGCTGAACCACCTTTATTGCATTCCAATGAGCAAGCTTGTAAGTATAGCTTGACATTTTGTTGCTTCTGAAACTTATGAGTAGGTAATGATGTGGCAAGCCAGCCTGATAAAGGTTCAGGACAGAAACCAGCAACTAAAGAATTGCCCGAGTACCTGAAGCAGAAGTTGAGAGCTAGGGGTATTCTTAAAGATCATAAACAAGCTGAAGAGCCTGTAAGGATGCTCATTGGTTTATCTTTATTTTCTGCCTCCTGATTTTCATCTGCCTCACCTATACTTGTCTTCTTCCTAGTTTCTTTACAATATATAGTTTTCGATCTGTCCTTTTCAATTGTTTTACTAACTGTTTGTATTTAAATCCAGAAAGATACTTCAGCTAAACCTGCAGAAAATGGAAGACTGCCTCCAGGATGGGTATGTATCACTGTCACATACTTTACCTTTCAATGTATTCTCTAGTTCTCATTGGATTTACCTTCTGGATATCGTATATGCTGTTTATTTAATACTTATTGCAAATGCAATTATGTTTAAAACTATTTGTGAAAAAACTGGACAGTTTGTCAATAGGTCAAGGTTTGTAAATTTCAGTTATCCACCTTGGAAAGCAAGAGAGATGGGCAGATATCCTAACACTCATTTGTTCTTTTCAAGTTTCTGATTTAAGTAGTAGCGTATATTAAATTCTAATTTTTTCATGAAGGTGGAGGCAAAAGATCATGCAACTGGTGCATTTTACTATTACAATGAAACTACAGGGAAAAGTCAATGGGAAAGACCTGTTGAAGCATCCTTATGCGTGCAATCATCATCATCATCTGTACCTCTTCCAGAAAATTGGGTGGAATCATTGGATGAAACATCAGGTGCAATATATACGGAAGTACAGCATAGCGTTGCTTTTTTCTTAACATGATTTTCACTGTTTTATATTGGGTTAAGGTGCATCTAACACCCTGAAATATTTTCTCGGGTGTATCTAGTATCCTGAAGTATTTTTTTAAGTGCGTCCAGCACTGTAAAGTATTTTTTAGTGCATTTAGCACCTCAAAATATTTTTTTTAGGTGTGTCAGCATCCAAAAATATTTTTTAGTGTGCAAAAAAAAAAAACTTCAAGGTGTTGGACGCATTTAAAAAATATTTTGGGGTGCTGGATGCATCATAGAATTTTTCAGGGTACTGGATGCATCTGAGAAAATACTTTGAGATGTTGGATGCACCTTAACCTTTTTATGTTTGCAAAATGATAGAATTCAGCCAGAAAAAGGATCAAGAAAGTGTGTATTTTAGTGTGGTAACTGAGAAAACATAAGCAAAGAAGCGACCTCAATAAATTAGCTCTTACAGAACAGATAACACGGAAGCAAATCCCAGAAAACATTAAACCAGAAACAGTATAATATGCCAAAAAAAAAAGAAGAAAGAAAATGTAAGTGCTTGGGCTTTGAGATGCCAGCTATCTCTGGTATCCATTTCATGATTTTTCCATCACCTCTGCCCGCTCCTCCAGTTTTTCTAAGAGCATGTTTGGTTTCATATTTGAAACGGCAAAAACCATGGTTTTGGTGAATTGGAAAGTGAAACCAAATATGCACTAGGACTTCCTCATGACAGAATTGCTTCCATTCACCCGCTCATGGTCCCCTCCTTGCTATCAAAAATACACATGCTCCTCACAACCAACCTGTCCTTTACTTCTCTGCTTATACATATATAAATATGTGCATGCACACCAGGCTCAATTACAGCATTAAGCAGAAAAACGTTTTTTCGTGACCTTATCAATCTTGTTGCCATTTTTATGCTTGTGGTCTGCAAATCCAGTATTGCTGTTGTGGTTGCCACTGCAGCCATGTTTCAATGTGTATTTTATATATTTAATTGCACCTGAAGGAAATTTTCTACTGATGGGGTAGAAATTTAGTTAATCTTCCTTCTTTATTAGCGTGGAGGGATTAAAAAAAGGTGGCTTTTTATGAGTGGTATAGCCTGGTAGGAGAAAATTTATGAGACAAATGATGGGGAGCCATCTGAAAGAAACACTTTGAAAAAGGGATCTAATAGATTTTTATCTAGAAAAAGAACTAATCAATGTAGAATAAGCTCTTATAGTGCTTTACTGCTTCATATTTGGCAATCGAACCCTCTGTAAATGACTTTTATGCTACGAAACAGAGAAATGGAAAAAGGGTGGCCTAGTGCACTAAGCTCTTATAGTGCTTTACTGCTTCATATTTGGCAATCGAACCCTCTGTAAATGACTTTTATGCTATGAAAACAAAGAAATGAAAAAAGGGTGGCCTAGTGCACAAGGTCCCCACTTGTTGGGGTCTAGGAAGGGTTTGATGTTTGCAGCTTTACTCTTGCTACCCGAGAGGATGATTGCATGATTTGAACCCATTATCTCCAAGTCACGTGATAGTAACCTTGCTATTGTTCCAAGGCTCACTACGAAAACAAAGAAATGGGGAGAAAATACTTGAAAAATGAGTCATTCAGACTCTGGCCAAGGACTTCTTCCTACTCGCAGAATCTCTTAAAATTAACAAGTGAAAGCTGTTCTATTTATTTGCTGGACAAACCCAAGTTTCACCAAAATAGCCATCTTCACTAGTATCAGGAAGGTGGGCAGTCTTAAAGTGAGTACCACTAATCTGGTGGTTAGAAAAACTCATGATAACGGTAAGGTTGATGAGTAAATGACAAATTAAAAAGAAAGGTTTATATTGCTAAGGACTAAGCCACTAAGGACTTGTCACCATGGAGCTCTTTGGAAATAAGGTTTTTGGGGAAAGGTATTAGTGATAATTTTTAATTGGTCCAATATATCGACCTTTACAAATGCCTTAGGACCGGTCCAATCTGAAGACCCAAAGCAACGTGTTAATCTAAATTACAATTTGTCTATTTCTCTATCAGGAAAATTTTACAGTATAACTCGAGTTGTCATTTATAACACCCTTAGTGTTTTCAAGCAAGACTGAAACCAAATTCAAGATAATTCAATGCCTTGTGTGTTCTAACGCTCAGCAACTATTTGCTTCCTCCCACGTGCAAATAAACTTCGCGGAGACTTTGCTCTTTTGTTAGCCATCTTTGATATTTGCCACCAGATTCAGTGAACAATTCTCTTCCTGCTTGAACAAATAGAATTTCTAATCACAATGAACAATAATCTTTGAAGTGGCTGTTGGTTAGGCCAGTGATTAACATGTTAACAACATGCCTAATATTTTATAGATTTTACATTAAGTATCTTATTTTACTCATTGTTTTATGTAAAAGGCCATAGGTATTACTACAATACAGAAACTCATGTATCACAATGGGAGCGTCCTAATTCAGCTCAGGATAATGTCACTAATCGCTCTAACTTGTCAAGCTCAACATCCGGGGGTAATCTTGGTGGGGATGACCACTCTTCCAAATTACCAAGGTGCACAGGATGTGGTGGTTGGGGAGTAGGCTTGGTGCAGGCTTGGGGTTACTGCAATCACTGCACAAGGTAATGTCTCTATATGTATTAACTGTTGCTGCATGAACTAAGTGGCTGATTTATAGAAAAATTATCTAGAGCGCACATTGTTGTTGCATGTAGAAGAGTGAAAGCACAGTATACTACTGGTACTGCAAGACTATTGTGTAAATTTATCATTGGTTCATATTTAGGTGTTTTTTGACCCAGTAAAATCATGGGAGGTGTTTTAAAACACGATGAATGTAATTAACTAGTTAACAAGTCCCATCCAGTTGATAAGAAACTCGAGTACCTAATAGAGGACTCAATTTTTTGTCCTTCCACGCCCTGAATCTGATTCACATATAATCTTTTCATGCTTTGAAACTTACCTGCATTGCAGAGTACACAATCTTCCACAGTGTGCGTATCTGTCCTCCAGTTCAAGTACTAAGCAAAGCAATACAACGCATCCCTCTAAAAATTCTGACGATAGGGACGGCAGACAGAGGTACGCTATTCTTTCACATGAAGACGTGGAGTACTGTTTATTGACTGGATTTTGCAGTATTATTTTTTATCGCTGCTATCCTTGGTACATGCAATTCTGCCACTTGTAGGAATTCCCCATTAGAATGGGAAGGGGGAAACTGTTATTTGCATATTCTTAAAAAACTTTTTACGCATAGGTTTTGTATTATCTGCTGGTATCTTTCCATGAAATCGAGTTTAAATTGGCCTAAAATTTATAGAAAGTACTTTCCAGGTCCAGTTGGAAGCCTCCTTTTGATAAAGGAAGCAGAAGAGGGGGCAAGAAACGTGCTTATGCTGAGGATGATGAACTGGATCCCATGGACCCCAGCTCTTACTCAGATGCTCCTCGTGGTGGCTGGTATGTTCAACACACAAAACCTTCGATGCTGAATTGCTGAAGACTTTTAACTTTGTTGACAATTCGAATGGCCAAGTGGCAAATATGATTGACTAAAGTTTAAATGATGATTTATTTCAGGGTTGTGGGCTTGAAAGGCGTGCAGCCACGAGCAGCTGACACAACAGCAACGGTATGTACATTCATCGCTTTCCTTTTCCAACGTTCTCTTATTTCTGGGACGATATCCTCTCCTCAGTTGTGTCTCTAGCTCTAGACTCTAGGTGACCATAACCTGCCACTCGCCACATTCGTAGCAAAGTTATGACCTGCGATATTATTTTGGAAAATCGAAAAAGTAATTATAGAAATATGTTTTTGAAACATCAAATATGGTACTCCTCCGGTCCTTAATTTTAGATCTCATTACTGAATCCCGATTGCTTGGGTGGTGAATGAAGAGTATACTAAAATATGCCTTTCACGCTGGAAGTTGGAAGTTGATATTTTGGATCTTGTCGAGGCTCGGCATTATTTTAACAAGTTGTGTTTGTGGGTCACTTTCAGGGTCCTCTCTTTCAACAACGACCATATCCCTCACCTGGAGCGGTTTTACGAAAGAATGCTGAAATTGCTTCCCAGAAGAAGCAACCAAACTCAAATTATGCACCCATATCCAAGAAAGGTGATGGGAGCGACGGCCTTGGCGACGCTGACTGAGACCATGACGTAACCACCGTAGCAGTTGACGTCATCTATGGGCATGCACGCAGCAGTCTCTGAGCGCGTTGACATCACTCAACTCTGCAGAATCTGTCTTTAGTGTGCTGGGCACCAGTTGGGTCTCAGTTGTGTCAGCGTAAAAGTAGCTGTAATTGCTAGGGAGAATTTTAGTTCGAAGGAGAATTATATTTTGACAATGAAAATGTTTTCTACTCTCTTTAACGATCATGAATATAATTTCATGAAAGATTTCTTTTTCTCTTTTCGTTAAATAATTTGGCCTACTTTTTGCCTTAATGACAATTCCATTTCGTATAAATTAAATAATGAAATAATTCATCGCACTAGTTAAAAAGCATTCAGTATTATCCGTGATGCCAAATTTATTTTATTGAACGAAAATGCAGGCTATTTACGAAGAATATAAATGCCAGACAGCCGGTTTTCTAAACCTTTTTGGGTTTTTCGTTGTTTCGGTGGGTAGGTCAAGAGTCAAGACGATGGACCAACCTGTATTTAGAAAATATTGAAATTATGCATTTTTAGTTTTTTAATATAAAACATATAACATTTTTAGAAATATTTTTCTTTATCACAAATTGAAGGTCTCATTTATTTTGAAATATGAGAACATAATACTACTTAATATAAGACCCTGTTTGACTTTTATTTTGGTTCTAAATATAAGACCCCAATCCATTTTCTCATATTTACTCAATTTTTTCTAAGATAATCCTTCTAATAATTATAGTTCTAGTTAATATGCTTGATTAGTAAGGGTATTTTAGAAAAGACAACACTTATTTAGGACAAATAACTAACTCAACTTACTTTCTTAATCTCCTTTAGTCAAAATTAGGACCGGAGGTAGTATTTTATATCGGTTAAGTATATGTTTGGTATTTGCTATATTGTTAAATAAAAAATATTTAGTCAATATAAAAAATCAATTTTATTTTGTATCATGAATAAAAAAATATAATTTTAAAATGAAATGAAAATGAATTATTAGAATAACGAAGTGATTGTTTAAAGAGGATGGCCGGCAGGCGAGCAAAAGATTAACGGATAATATATTTTTTTTCAGGAATCATAATTAAATAATGCTAAAAGTAATATACATGACGGAAATCCCCAATTTTTCATCAGGGTTTCCCTAGTTCTCCTCCTTCTCGCTCAAGCTTGATCTCACCAGGGTAACTCCTCTTAGTCTCACTTTATTCTCTTCAGTCATTTCGATTTCGTAGCTTAGTTGAGTTGATACTCTAATCCAGCATGTTTGTTGTCCTCTGCTTTTGCTTTTCTGTTTGATTCAAGGGCGGCATTTTTGCTTTTTCCTGATTTTGTGCTGAGACTCTGTTGGTAAATTTCCAAAAGCCCTTTATCTTGAATTTTGAGAAGTTTCCCTTTCTCTGAGGTTGCGTTGGCGATGTGACTGAGTTAGCCAGTGGTTTCCTGTGTTGTGGGTGTAGTTGCCGAACTAGATTGGACGAATCAAGTCTCTAAAAGTGTTCATGAATGATTGGTTAAAACGGCGTTTTCTTCTGGTCTGTCGGAATTTTGGTTTGGTGTTGGTATCCGGACGAGAATCTAGAATGCTGCTACCTGGCTTTTTCTGCCCCTTTGTTTTACACTTTACCTTTTCTCTGAATGCTGGAGAACTGTTTGAAGTTTTCTTTTTCGATAGCTATATGGCATTTTGTTAATTGTGGAAGCTTCCAAGAAACGATGTTTTTATACGTATTCAGAATCTGATGGTTAGTTACGTTCAAACTAAGGTCGTTATAAGATTTTTCCCCTCTTTAAAGTATTGAAGTTCTTAAAATCGATCACTTCTTCCTTTGCTCATGCTCGATTCCGTTTCTACCTGGAAGTTCCAGGCTTCAAAAAAATTTAACAGAGAACAATGCTTTGTATGCACCTCATGTGATAATTGCTTTTAGCGCATCAGTTACTGGGGGGAAAAAAAAAAAAATGAAATCAGAGCATTGATTTTAAATTAACCAAGATGAGGGAAAATAATTTGCGTAGGGAAGATTTGGTCAAGCTTGTATTCATGACGGTGAATCCTGTTCTTGCATCTGTTCTAGTGAAGCCATTTCTTTCTAATCACCCTTTTCCAGAACAGGTCCTTGTGGTTCAGCAAGAGTGTACTATCACCTAGCCTTGGCTTCTTACCATCTAATCACTGACATATTGTGATCTATGACGATAAATGTGCGGTACTGATGTTCTTACAAGACCTGCTTTGAAAATGTTTGAATCAGGTATCCTTCCGTCTCAGGATATTACCCCCTTGATATTTAATTACACCCTTAAATTGTCTATTTTCAGGGTGCTGGGAGACTTTAAAACTAGTTTTTGGGGACTTTAAGGAAGAGTAAACAAGACCATGTCAAATAGTAGAAACACTCATTGGTGTTATAGCTGCAGGAGCCCAGTACAGCTGCGGGGGCGAGATGTGGTTTGCCCTAATTGTAATGAGGGATTTATTCAAGAACTTAATGATATGGTCATCAACCCACTAGACTTCTTTGGCCTAGACAATGCTACTGATGAACGAGACCGGATGTTCAGAATTATGGAAGCCTTCTCTGCCTTTACGAGGCATCGACCGGTAAATAGAAGTCATAGGCATGACATCATAGTTGGATCAGATTCAATTCCTGAACATGGTCCAGGGTATGCTCCTTTGCTGCTCTTTGGTGGCCAGATTCCTGTCAGACTGTCTGGACATGGTGGCTTTGAAGCTCTTTTCAATGGGACTCCTGGAATTGGTCTGATGCAAGGCAATACAGGTGATTATTTTATCGGTCCTGGACTGGAAGAACTGTTCGAACAGCTTTCAGCTAATGACAGGCGAGGTCCTCCTCCAGCTTCCAGGTCCTCAATAGATGCAATGCCTACCATTAAGATCACACATAAGCTTCTTCGTTCAGACTCACATTGTCCAGTATGTCAAGATAAATTTGAGCTGGGGTCAGAAGCAAGGCAAATGCCATGTAAACACATATATCACTCAGATTGTATTGTTCCCTGGTTAGTACAGCATAACTCCTGTCCCGTTTGTCGCCAGGAGTTGCCACCACAAGGATTGAGCAGCAACCGTGGCTCCAATGGTAGAACTAGAAGCAGTTCTGATAGCAGTAGCGGCAATGGAAGGGTAAATGGTAGGGAGAACCAGGGAAGGCGGAACCCATTCTCTTATTTTTGGCCTTTCCGTTCATCTAATTCTAGCAACAATGGAGCAGGGGGAAGCGGCTCACCAACACAGCCTATCCCTGAGAATAGCCACCACGCCGGCTATTCCGGATGGCCATTTGAGTAAGTGCCGCGTGTGTACGGGACATGCTCTTCGCCCAATTCCTTGTCATTGAAATTGCTCATGTGGAGTAATAAAGTGGTTGTGAATGCTGAAAATGGCGAGACTTTAGTTAGCCAGTTTGAGTTATGCTGTTTAAAATGTGTGAATTGTGAAAATTTGTGTACCAAAACGTGTGGAGATCGTGTATAAATTTTGCACTTCTAGATATGATTCATGGTCGGAGGATTCAATTCAATTCATCCTTTGTTTTAATTTTTCGTTCCTAATAGTAGTACCCATTATTATTGTTATTAATTTGCCACCAATATTTCCATCCCTTAATGGACTTCATCTGGGTTGTTTCTAAGCCCCCGTCACTCGTAAGCTCACACCTAGGAAATTATTTGCTTGTCTAATTGGTACAACATTGTTGGGTGAGAATAAAATGCTTAGAAGGATTAGGTCATGATTCCAAGAGTTAGGACTGGCTTTATCATCCAAATTTGCTGACAAGATTTTTATCTTATTGGTGAGACTCAAAGACGCACTCTTCTGGGTCGGGATATGAATCGCATATTTAACAAGAGAACCAATATTTATTGACCAAATTAACGTAAATGTACAATTTCGAGTACTGCAGCATTCTGTATGAGGCAAAAAGCAAAAAAGTGTCCATTCTTATGATTTCCGTCCTAAATACAATTCACAAGTTTACAGATGTTGATGCCATGAAATCAAGCACCTTTCAAAATATTCCTTGTCACATCGGGTGGTTGAACCTACACTTCTAGCCACACTCCATACTCTCCCCCCAAAGGCTAATGGACTAAAATATTATACCATCCGTAAGAGTTGGAGAAGAAATGAAAAGCTGCCCATCTAAAAATCTCAGCAAATGCATACACCAGCGTCAAGGTACATCCTATTTCAACCACTGGATAACTTACCTACTTACAACCGCCAAGAAAGAGTACGCAGAAGGGGATTGCATAAACCGTAGCAGGGAAGCCGGATTTAAGTTGTCTGATTCACCAACCAGTGCCCCCACCAGCATTTCCAGACCATCCATTATCAGATTTCTTGAGACCACTTCCCCAGCCAGAGCTTCCACGTTCTGCGTCATTTGAAGCACCACCGCCACCCCAACCACTAGCTCCACCAGACCCCCAACCGCCTGGAAAGGCTTCCCTTCCTGGGGAATTTTGAACCTTGGCTCCTGGAAAATTGCTTAAACCATCATCTCCATCCTTTGTGGCAGAACCCCATCTAGCTGAGCTAAAGCCAGAGTCCTGCCTTTCATTATTGGAGTTGTTTCCTCGACTGTTGTAAGAGCCTCGACCACGTCCACGACCACCACCGTATGGCCGAGGCAGACCACTAGGGTGATCATCCCGATTCCCACTGTTTCTGTAATCAGTTCGGCCTGAGCAGAACACAATAATTAGAGTTTCTGGCCTTGCAAAAATCTGAATGCAAGATCAGAGAGGGAGGGGGGCCTAGTTGGAAAAGAGCATGTCATTTGATGCAGAGATTAAAGGAAAAATGAAATGAAGAAAAAAAAAAGTGATTTAATGAACACAAAATTACTCATGGTGCTAGTTTAAATTTCGCCCAGCACTGCACACATGTTAAGCATTGGATGACAAATGAACAGAAGCAAAAATCAGAAGTCCATGACACAAAATATACCTGTCCTCGAACCAGGTGTAGAAGATCGATCCCTGTCACCTGCGTGACTTCTCCAGCCACCTTCATTAGAGCCCCATCCACTACCCACTGATGTCCCTGAGGATCCACCAGTAGCTGGGCTTCGCATTGGGACCATAGCAGCAACAGATCTAATAGAAGGTGCCACATCATGCTGGGGATCATCAATGTGCCTCTGGAAATATGCCACAAGTCGATCAATGTCTTCGAACATCCTTTTCCGAAATTTGAATCCTTTTGGATAAAGCCCAATGTACTCATGGTGGGGATTCGTACTTCTTATATAAGTCAATATGAATGTGCCTGGATGTTCATGAGAGATGCCAAAACTATAGACTATCCGCATGGGATACTCAGCTTTTTCCATCCTCAAAAGTTCATCAACTTCTGCTTTTGTACCCTTCTTGAACTTGCGATAGTTTAGCATTGCCTTTAAGTGAACTACCAAGGGATCAACATATCGATCCATTACCTAAGCAACAATGGATAAGAAAAATCAACTAAGAAATAAGCTTCTGCAAAGAAGAAAAGCAATAAATGCATTTAAAGGCAGTGGTGCTAGCTAACCTCATCTAAATCCTCAAAAGTGTCCTCTCCAATTTTAAGTGTCTTCCCAATTCGAAGCAAGCTTGTGATGTCCTTGTGTTCCTTTCCACCTTCAATTATATCTTTGTGGGCATAAACTCCATCATAGATTTTGAGAGTTAGAGTAAGAAATGAGGGTCCGCGTGAACTAGGCCGGATTATACTTTCTCCAAAATCTTTGTCAGACAAGAACTGCACACAAAACATGCACAAGCTAAGCAGCTGCCACTATAAAATACCCAATACAGATTGTGACAGAGCAGATTTTATTAATTATATTTATGATTTGATTGCGCAGAAGATGCTGTTTTATTGAAAATCAAGGAAGCAGGTTTGTCATGCGATCTACAGAGCTGTAATTGAATTTATATGAATATATGATACTTGAATACAAATTTAAGCATGCAAACACTTGTACTTTCAGTCACCAATGGAAATTGACAAAAAAAATTATCACAGTTAAAACCACTTAGAAACAAACCTCCATTGCTTCATCTGCAGTAATGTTCTGAAAACGTGGATGAACTATCATCCTAGGCTTGAAATGTTTCTTTGCCAGCTCTTTTTCTTTGCGACCTTTGTCTTGTTCACTCTGTTGAGAGCTACGGTCTTCGTAATAATAGGGGTCAAGATTTCGGTTACTCTGTAAACGATTACTTCTCATTTCACTCTCCCTACAAACAAGGAATACCTGATACCTGTTCTTCTGAATTGATTTGATTTTGCAAGTGAGAATGTCATCCTCATTTAGCCTGTCAGACAGCTCAACTAAATCCCTCCAGTCATCTGTATAGTCTTCTTTCATGAGAATTCCAGTCAACCCAGATTCAAGCACGCATATGGCCTTTTGGGCTTGCACTCTGCGAATTGTAGCTTGGACAATTTTCCCTTCAGCAAGGGTCTCCTCAGTTTCACCTGATATCATATAAAACTCCTCATCCTGATTTGGTTCTTCATATTGTTTACGCCAATCCTGAAATCCCTGAATCAGTTCTCTTTTTATGTCATAGAAAGTTTCTTTTTTATTCTGCCGGTTCTTCTCATTAGCATATTCCTCAACATCAAGGTTTTTCAAATAACTAGGCCGATCTCTCACATGCTCTATAGCCATCTCCAGTGCATCATCATCATCATTAGCATCACCTGTGCCATCTGCCTCATATACATCTTTAGCCAACTCTTGTGCAAGAGTATATGATTCTGGATGAATTCTTGTATCATCTAGCAAATCAATAAATTGGCTGCTGCTAGCAGCCAACCCACTCCTTCGAACACGCAAGAAACCTACAGCATTGACAAAAACCTTTTTACCCAGTTTATGTTCCGTCACAAAGTCCTTCCGGGTAAAAATTGCTCCAGCTCTTACCAGGGACCTCTGTAAGGATGCAGCCTTTCTTGGACCAAGCCCAGAAATAAATTGTAAGGGAGCAAATAACCACTCGTGACTTATGGCTAAGTTAACATCTAAGCCCACCTGATTTGTCACATCTACCATAATCTGCTCAACCATCCCAAATTTCTCATCAGGGTTGAGAAAGCTCTCCAAGGAACTCAGTTTCCATGATAAAATTTCTTTTCTAGGTCCACATAATGTTGCAACCATTGCCAAGGGATTCTGCAGATACCTTCCAAGTGCAACAGCCCGCCTCACTATACCTGCTAGGTGAGAGGACAAAGGGATTAATTACAAGCAACCAAGTGGGATAGGAAGAGCACACAAGCAACAATATTTACCTTGCTGGGAGGGAAGTTGTTCAGAGGAAATTCGAGAATTTTCGTACAAATGTGGAAGAGATTCATCCCCATACACAATGCTGAGGCCATCCATCTCGTGACCAACATCTCTAGGATTTTCCTCCACCATTTTAAAAATTATCTAATAAAAGTGGAGCAAATTAGCTAATTTATTTAAGAAATCTAAAGTTGTAATGGAAAGACCACACAAACAACTTATGACTCAAATGTAACTATCAAATTGCTCAGCAGAAACGAGTTTTGCCCGAGAAGCTAAACAGCAATTGCGCCTTAAAAGCTTCATATTTTCACCACCGATATAACCTCTGGCATGAATTTATTCTACACTATGGTATTATGAAAATGAAAAGGAGGAGGTGGGCTGAAACGAAAAGTCTATCTATTCAAATTCAAATGGTAAAGAAAAGTCAAATGCAAGGTACATAACAAACTTATGTGCTTCCTAATAAGTGATACAAGACTAAGACAACTCAGAAGCAAGTAACGTAGCAAGGACACATCATGTCATCATCCAAAAAGTTTTAAGAGCACAAAAAGAGTATTACCAAAGCAAATTAAAATTTGATGCATCTTTTTTTCCATTTTTGGGGGGCATAAAATTGGATGCAGCTTTAGATCAGAATTAAGGTGAATGACTAATGATTTATGCCTACATTCATTAACAATGAACCACCGCAGCTTAGAGAGTAATATAACTAATTAGCCTCCTGAGAAACAATAAAATACTGCACCATCCCAAGTGACTAACAGCTCAAAAAGGATGTTCCTAAGCACCTTAGAACCTGATGAGGCTTAACCAGAACTGAAATTAGAACCTTTATCTCCATTCACAGGTATGGTACTACCCACTGACTCCAAGACTAAGCAATAGACGTCCTAAATCATGCAAGCGGAACAAAGACATACATTAAGAACATAAATTATAAATATACCAGAAGAAATGTTACGCATTTTTCCAGAATATATAAAGGCCTTTTAGCAAGAAAAAGCATCAACAGATTAACCAAATTAGCTAACTGATGAAGCAAATGCTAATACAATAATCAGGAACATCAAAAATCAAGATGCTAACCTCATATATATCATCCTTCAAACGAGTACAAGACAAATTCACTGCTCCTAGAACAACAACATGCGGTTGGTGGTCTGTCATGAACTTCAAAACACGCTCCTGGTCCTTCTTCTTCCGTTGCTGGTCATTAACATTTTGAGACCGTAGAGTAAGTGACCTTGTGTAAAGAACATCTAGCACTTCCCCTGATGAATCTAACATAACAAAAGTTGTCTGCGGCTTTCCAGGACCCCAACAGCAAGCCATAACCCTAGGGGCAGCTTCATCATCAGCACTAAGATCATTATCCTTCCGTTGGTAAGGTCCCAAAGAAACCTTATTCCACAATGCCTTCCCATACTCCATGAGTAACCAATTCTTTGCTTTGCTCAATAAATAAGTTCTTGCCTCTTTTTCCATTGATGGTAATAGAAAGCGAAAAATTGCATCATGCAGTATCAACTTCCTCTGTTCATTCCACAGTTGGGCAGACCTACTAACACTGTCACTGATGTAATAATCATTGAATTCATTTGTCAACTTATCAAGATACTCCTCAGGCAGCTTAATAGTAACTTGAAGGAGTTTTTCCTCCTCCGCCTTCTGTATAAGGAGCCATTGTGCATCCTCAAATTTAGATAACGGCTTCTCCCGCAACCACTTTATCCCAGCAAACTGATGGAAAGAATCTATAGTTACATTTCCATCAGCAGTGGGGCAAGTTGATACCACGGCATGGTCAATAAAGTTGGTACGGACATGTTTCCTGATGCTAGGCTCACAACTAATCTCAACAGCTGCCTGAACAAGAGAGGCATGGTATCAACAAAAACTACCTTCCAAATGTTTAAGAAGAAACAAGATGGGCATAGATCATACCATGTGCCTCGCATATTTGAGTACTTCTTGAGGCGTATCACACATAGCACATGTAAAATTTGAAGCCATTTCTTCAGGTGTTTCCTTGGGATTCTCCAACTCGTTAATCTATAAACAAAGGTCACAAAAGACCATTATTTGTAGGAAAATGGGGGGGGGGGGGGGGACATCGCTAATCTTAGCATGCTTACCATTGTTTCAAGTGATAAGATCATTCCAAGTTGCTCAGCACTACGGCCAAACTTGCTGGCAACCTCCCAAAGCCCTGCCTTACTGAAAGTACTATACGTTGATTTCCTTTTAGGTCTTTTATATTGCCCTTCATCAACACCAGCTTCCCCTGGAGGGAAATGCAAGTTGAATTTTGAATCGACATCATCAACCTCTCTCTCTGTTTCTGCAGCCTTCAATGATCTCATAACTGACTCAAACAATTGCTGGTTCAATTCAAGTCTTGTTTCATCATAAACACGACGGGACTCTTCTTCAAATCGTTTATTATAGTAGGCTTGGAGGGCACTTTTTCGTTTCTGAAGAAGCAACCACTTTTGGTCCAAGTCTTGAATTGCCCAAAGTACCTAAACCGTGCACAAGGAAGCCATTTATAGAGAATTGAATTTGCTTTCAGTAACAAAAACAATGATAACAATTGCCATAAGTACACACTTTGTTTGGCCCCAAAATAAAAGAAATTACACAGACCTTGTGCCATTTTAAAGTTGGAGGCCTTTCATTTTTATCCCAATTCTCATCATCAGGTTGCTCTGGATCTTTCAGTAGGCTTAAGCACTCCTCTTTCCGGTACATAGCAATAAAAGGAATCTAGACAAGGTTATTTCCGATTAGAAACAACAATGATAGGACCTAATAAATTAGAATAAAAAAAAATGTATTTGCATGAATAAGAAATACTAACATCCAGTTTCTGCACATGATGCAGTTCCAAAAATCTGATGATATCATGAGTGTCAATCTGTAAATTGCCAGCGTCTTTCTTGTGAATCCAGGGTACCGTTCCTTTTTTAAGTTGATCCTCTATCCAGCGACTCTCCTCTCTTATGCTACCTGCGTCCAGTGGAGGCGCACCAGTACTCTCTTCTGATATCTGCAGGAAAATCAATTTTCTGATTAAGATACCTGAGTGATCCAATAAAACAAAACAAAACAAATTATTTCGGCACAGATCTTAAAAGACCTGCATTCTTTCAGGAATATCAAGCTCCCTAATTCGATCATCCTTCTCTGTCATATATTTCTCAGAAAGGACAACAGGCTCAAATTCATCTTCAAGTCTAGTCTCCCTATATTCACGTAGTTCCAGACTTTGCTTGCGAGACTGCAGCAACTCATCAACATCACCAAATAACTCCTGAGCTTCTTGCAATGCAGAAGAAGATACTCCAGGTGCCTGCCTAACTTTCTTTCTCTTCAGCTTCTTTCGCCTAAAGAAAATGCAGCAACACATAGCGATGTGAATTATCTAATAATCCAAACCAACTATAGTAGAAATAAATCATCAAAATATTCATTGAAAATACCTCATAGGAGCCCCGTGTTCATCAACTTCTTCCTCATCCACGATGAAGTCTGCCATTTCATCTTCTTCACCAATGTCTGCATCCTCCTCCTCTTCTCCCTGTTCCTCCTCTTCAGCAATATCTTCAAGTGGAGCTCCTACATTTCATGACATCCATGGTAAATCAATGAAAAACCAATGCTAAACCAATGCTATAAACCAAGAGCATCTTGGCCATACCTTCATCATCACCAAATAAACTGCGCTTAAGCTTCTCCTCAGCAGTCCTCCCACCTTTCCCACTTCCAACAAATTCCTCCTCGTCAGATAATCCTGAGGGCTCCTCCTCGGTGTCCCTCTGCCCTTTTTTCAGCCGCTTAAACTTTTTGCTCTCCTGTTTAATTAATCTTGTTAATACAAATATGACTTGTGCACTTAACCACAGAACTGCATCATCCAGCAGATAAGGCCAGCAGAAAATTATAACACTAATTCAAAATGCCAACAATTCACAACCTTCCTGCGGTGAATATTGATATTATTGTCCTCTAGAAGCTCATAATCATCTTCATCCAGAACATACTCCTCCCTGAAATAACAGGAATAAATCTATCAGATTAAAAATAAAATTAAAAGAGGAAAAAAAGAAAAGAACATCTACAACTTCCGGGAGAATTTGAATTTGTAAATACAAATAATAAAAGAAAACCCATAACCACGTATTAGGTTCAGTAATATCTCCCAATAAAATAGAACAAAGAAAGAAAACAAAGCAATATGCCTTACTGCTACAACAGCAAAACTTAATTACCAAACACAAAAGAGAAAAGCAATAAAAAAGAGAGGATTTTCACTTTTTCTTCCTCTTTTTCTTCTTCTGCCGTTCTTCATCGCTGTCTGCCCTCTCTTCTTCATCTTGTTCCTCCTCTTCCTCAACATCGTCAACTATAAATCCGTCATTCTCATATTCATCCTGTCCTTCTGCACATGAAGGAAAAAATAGAACTTACAACCCACATGACGTGTACCAGGTGAAGTATATAAATGAATACTTCCCAGGTAAAAGACATTTTAAAATGTCAAAATTGTCTGAGTAGTTACTTAACAGCAAAAGCACTATACAAAACGAAACCAGAAAAATACACGGAGAAAGATAGAGCAAAAGCCCTAAGCACATAGGATAGAAGGATAAAGCTAGGCGAGAGCATCCTAAGTTCCTAACAGCATCATCCAAGGAAAAACCAAAAGGAATGCCTTTCATCGTCGCTGGAGAACACCACACAACACCAGCAGACTGTTTTTCGCATTGCTTCTAAACAAGGAAATAGAGTTGAAAGATCATGCTAGCCAAATTAGCAAAAGCCCTATATTCAAGTTGAAACCCTCGCACCAAACCTCCAACCATTTGCAGAAAGAAATTTAATAACAATATCCATAATCAACAAACACCGCTTCAAAACATTGTTCATACCTTCTTCTTCGTCCTCGTCCTCGTCATCATCCGCACCATCTCCATCAACTGGCTCCCTCTCCTCCTCTTCGAGTTCGACCTCGTCTGAACACGTCGAAGAGCCAAAAACACAAATGTCAAAATCCCAAAAATCAATAAAACCGCCTCAATGAAATGCAAAGAGAAATTAGGAAGTTTCTAGGGCTAGCCTTCTTCGTCTGAGACTACGCCTTTGGCCATGGTTGGCGATGGGAGCAAGAACTACGACGCACTAAGCTTGAGAAATCAACAGAGAACTAAGAGAAACAAAAGTCGGTTATGGTGCAAGAATCGAAAGCGAACCCCTATAGATACACCAGACTTGAGTGCCTGGGTGGGGAGGGAAGCCGGTGAGTATTATTTTATATTGCCGAGTCAGGGAGGAACGGTATGGCCGATCTGAACCTCTCTCTGTGCGTCTAGCGGCAACCTGTACGAGAATAAACTTTTTCCCAAGCGCCAAAAAAAAAAAAAAGGTCAAGTGAGTAAGTGACATCCAAGAACTATACAAAGTTAATATTCTGGCCTTTTTAATAAGATTATTTATTATTTATATTTAGCTTTAAACAATTGAAAGTTGTCATTAAATTTTAAAAATTTTGATATTAAATTGTGGAAAATTAATATCAAGCTACGGAAATGTTATAATCAATTTTTCAAAATTATAATTAGTAGTAATTTTTCATTAATTTTTCAAAATGTGGCAAACAAAATTTTATAAATGAATTTCATGATTTATTACAATTTGACATTTACATATGTTAAAATTTTGATTAATTGAAACTTGGAATTACTAAATTCTAATATTCATTTTTTAAAACTTCTAAATTATTTTGAAGATTCAAAAGAATTGTAATTATAATTTTGAGAAAGTTATGGCATATAATTCTTAAGATTTGTTTTAAGTGTAGTTTTTAAAAAAATTTCGCATGCTTGTCACAAAAAAATAGTAAACATATAAGTATTTCAATACAAACTTTTGTAATTACGTGTTTCTTAATTAGATTACGTACATCGCATCTTATAAAAAATTATTATGTTTTGAGAAATTGATAGCAGTTTATAACAAAAATATAATGAAAAACAAGTCCAATTCATTTGCAATAAATGATTTTACCGCATATGGTATTATTTTTTTTAATAAAAAAAAAAGATAACATTAGTGTGCGCGCCCGTGTGTGCTTGTCAAAATTGGGTTGGCAAAAAAATGAAAGTGTCAAAATTGCTGTACCTATGCTTCATGTATTGTTCACCTTTTGCTACGAAAAGCTGGCAAAAAATATTTTGCTTTCCCTTAAAAAAATCACCCTGGCCTGTATTAATATCTCATGGGCCGGGTAAAAAAGTCATTGGGCAAACAATCCCACGAAATTCCCAATGAATACGGTTGGGTGGTGTGAAATATTGGACCCGTCTCGAACTGTTTAGACTATTGGGCCTAACACATTTCAGCTTCTTATAAAAAAGGCGCCTATTGATTGAACTTCCTCCAACTTTGTTGGATTTTTCCCCCTTAAAAAATAGATAAAAATAATACTTTTTTGATTCTAAATATAAAACCCACTTCATGTAATTTATATTACAAAGTAGGTCTTATATTTAGTACCTGAGAAGTAACAAAATGTAAGGGGTTTCATATCAGAGCAAGCATATAACACCCACCAACACAACACACATATATATATGGATCCGCATTTCGGGCTCACTGTGTTGATGAGCACGGAGTACCCAGCCCTCAAAACATGGACGTTTTGAGTGTTGAGCAGTATAATAAGGGACCTTTTTTTTTACTATAAAAAAATATATGTATTAGAATTATTTTTAGTTAAGATTTATCTAATATTTTGAAATATTTTTTAGATACGTTTAATATTTTAAAATATCTTATGGTATCCTAAAATATTTTCTCATGTGCATTTAGTATTCTATAGTATTTAAGAATATAATATTTTAAAGTATTATGTGATTTGTTTAGTACCCTAAAATATTTTTTCATATGAGTTCATTATCCTAAAATACTTCAGGGTCTAGTATTTTAGAGTCTTTTATAATTTATCTAGTATCCTGAAATATTTTTTCAGCAATCTAAAATATTTTGTGATACAATATCAGGAAATAGACAATTTTTTAAGACATTAAATGTACTTGAAAAAATATTTTAAAGTCCTAAATGGATCATAAAATACTTTAAGGTATTGAAAACATCTAAAAAAATATTTTAGAGTACTAGATAAACGTTAACCAAAAATAATTTTAATACATAATTTATTTTGGTTCTTAATATAAGAGTTAGTTTGATTGATTCAAGTATATTAAAAAAATTAGCTAAATTAATTATTTGTCATAAAGAGGCATTGTTTTCTCCAAAATAATGTTTACTAATTATGTATATTAATTAGAACTATCAATTGATTAAATCTTTAACATATGCAATTATTACAAAGACTATATTTAAAAAAATAAACATATATAAGAAATAAAATAGATTGGAATCTTATATTTAAAAAAAATTAAATATCAAACTAATTTTTATATTAATGATATGAGGCAGCATAGATTATTTTGTAGCAAAAAAAAAGTAAAAAAAAAAATTTAAGAGCTCAGCATTCAAAACGCACGGCAACGTGTGTGTTTTAAATGCTGAGCACGGAATGCGAAGGCATGTACATATATATATATATGGGGGTGAAAAGAGCAGAATGAGGTTTAAGAGCATTTTTCCCCATAACATAACCAACCAATTATATTGCATGAGAGAAAGGTATATAATGATCTTTACACATAAAAAACTACTAGTAGCAGGCATTGAACACCAACTTACCCGAAAATTAACAAAGCAGGACCTACCAACTGGCAACTACAGAGACTACCATTGCGGCTATATATACCGACGGCCAAATTAAGACCACCAACAGCATTCACTTGCCACTCGCCTCTGTTTCCCGTTCATAAGTCACTCTTCTTTTAAGGGGATGTTTGGATAAAACCAACCATGGTTCAGAAGTGCTTTTACGGATTACGAAATAAATATGTGGAGGAGGTTACCTCGTTTTGCGGAAAGTGATTCTGAAATCTATGTTTTGGTTTTGCCAAACACCCTCTAAATTTCTTCGTCAGCCTCAGCCCACAATCTCAACACATCTTCACTTTGTCCATTGGCCCGCTGATTTTGCTGCATTCCGGAGACTGCGGCGAGTGGACCTCCGGATGGGAGCTGCTCAGTCGAAAGAAATTAGAGCACATTGAAACCTCAGGGCATATGCACATTTTGTACCAGTACCATTAAACACTACTCCCTCCCTCTTTTGGTACGAGAAACAACTAATAAAATCAAACCTTTCAAAATATTAGCTAAAAACAATAAATATGTAAAATATATACATATATTTTTTAATTATGTTTTTACCTGAGGGTTTGTGAATAAAAATTTATTGCAGAAAGATAATAAGCATCATATATTTAATGGACATAAAAGTGAAAATGTTAGTTTAAAATTTCAGGCAAAATGAGTGTTTGGGTAATCACCCAAACCATGATTTGAGGAAAAAAATTACTCAAACACCGTAAAAAAAAACCAAAACCGAGGTTTGGACCAAGACCATAAATCATAGTTTTGATAAAAACAAAAAATTTCTACTATTGAGGAAAAAAGGGAGAGTCAGAGAGTATCAGAGCCTATGAGATATGTGCCTTAATTTTTTTTTTGGCCCAAACGAATATACCCCTCCCTAATTATTCATTTCTTGTCTTCATTGTTTTAGACACAGTATGAGGGAGAGCCTGAGAGGATCATATATAGGTGTTGTGTGTTTATTATTAATTACTATAATAAGTAATAAATTGTTTTATGTGTGCTTATTTAATTTTGTCAAAAAATATCATGGTATTTTATATGCATAATCTTTAAAATAAAATAATATTTTTTTGTTGGTAAAAAATATTCATTTTTTTAAAAAAATTTTAATCTCATATTTTATAGATATATATACACATATTAATTAATTAATAATTATATTTTCTTATATATTTTTAATTATGTTGATAAAAAAAACATTATTAATAATTTTTTCTTTTAAATTAAAATGTATTATAAAATTTATATTTTATGTAATTATCATATTAATTTATACCTTTTTAGTAATTTGTACATATAAAAAATACTTTTGATAACAATTATCAAAATACTCTTACTTTATTAGAATTACTTTTTCACAAAATATATTCTTTATAAAATCTATTCTCTCAAGAATCTATTCTCCAGAAACTATTCTCCAAACCATGGTTTAGTTTCATCCAAATACTCTCAAAGATAATTTGTTTTTTGTATTTAGAAACGTTATTATGAAAAGGATTATTTCGTATAAAAATAGACAGAAGGAATATATATTTTCTCCTAATCACGCACACAACGAAACCAACTATTCACATATCAGACTTGGTTTATATTTTATGAAAACCATGCATCCATACCCCAAACTATTACATTCAATTCTTAATATAAAAGTTAGCATGAAAATTGAATTTAGTTATAACTCTTAAATATAAGATTTTAATTAATTTTATCTCTGATTTTTATTAAAATATTTCTATTAATTATAAGATATTTTTATCAAGAGATGGTTCAAACGCACACAATTAAAAATGATAATTTAAACAAACTAAAACATATTTGTAACAAATAATCAGTTTAATTAATTTTTTTAGTATTTTAAAATTAGGTATATGGCAGACATAGTATATCAATATTTCCTTAATCCTAAATATAAAATCCAGTAATATAAATGGATCTTATATCTTGGTATGACTTCACAAGCTCCTTACGTCAAATCTCACATCATATCATTACCGGGGGAAAAAACAAAAGAGCTATCGGCCATCAGCTTACGTAGTGATGGAGCCCCTGTTCTCCGTGACTGGCGCGTGGAGTCAATCACTGTTATGGAATATTTGAAGTTTTGAGCCATCCAGCAGCCGCCACGCTTTCCTGCCCACCCTGCAGCTTATTATTTTACTTTTATTTTATCACCGATCCCCAGCCGTTTGACTATTTTAATTATATCATTTTCTTTTATCAAAATCAAACCCGTGAGAAAAAAAATTTCCGCGCCCAAAACATGATTTTGTACGTGCGAATTATTTGTCAGTATACAAAAATGATCATTATAATTGAGTAACAATGATAATATACAACTCGATTGATTAATTTGAACCTATTAAGAGACTAAATAAATTATTTAATTGTGTTATATGTTACATAGTATTTTTAAAATATTTATTTATATTATTAGATTATATATTAGATAAATTAGTTTAGAAAATGATAAATATAAATACTTTATGTAGGAAATAGAATAATATGGAAAATAATTCTCTTGTATTTCATTGATCAGAATATACACATATATA